CCAATCCTGAACCACAAATCCAACCCTGAGGCTGCTTCTATCTTCTATTGTGAGAAAAGGAACATTAAGTGTTGCTGAAAGATCCCTCTGGCGCTGCGACGATTGATCAAGCTTTGAACCTTGCGTTTCACTCTCGTCTGCGTTCTCCTTAAAAGGCGGCGCAGCCGGCTCAGGGGTTAAGACGCTGGGCTTGTTTGGCTGGAAAGCCAGCGGCCCAAGTTCGAGACCCGGGTGCCGCGTGACGGAGTGGAGCTCCCCGTTACTTGCCAATGTAGCAGTTGGAAAGGATGCAAATTGTGAGTAGATAAATAGGTGCCACTCTGGTGGGAAGGTCACAGCGCTCTGCGACCTCATGCTTGCCATGTGACCAGAGACATGTCTTCCGACAGGGCTGGCTCAAGGGGGGGGGGCTTGAAACGGAGGTGAGTAGCGCCCCCTACAGTCTATAATGACTAACAGAGTCAAATCCACAGGGAGGGGGAGAAAAACTCCTCCTTAAGGAAGAACAAAATCTTGAGGGCGTCAGCCACAAGAGATTCATCTGTCTGTCTGTCTGTCCGTCCCATCCATCCATCCATCCATCCATCCATCCATCCATCCATCCATCCATCCCCTTATGGCATTTGTACAGCTGCCCATCTCACCTAGAAGGGACTCCCTAGGGAGCAGCAGGACTTTTGGCTTACCAAATTGTCCAGCATTCGCATGAGGGCTTCAAATTCTTGTTCTCCGGTTTGCCACTTGGGGTGAGGCGATGTGCCATCCCCCGCGGCCGACTCGTGGCAGTGAGGCCTGGATTTGTATTTGCTGGGATCCAGCATGACCAAGTTGTCCGCCCCCCCTGTGCTGGCCAGCGTCCGTACCTGCAAAGTAAAAAGCAAATATTAACGAGAAGAAATAAACCAAGCACCCACCGTACAATCTAATCTAGGTTACATGCCGCTGTTACAACCCTTCTAGTAGTATTTATCTCTTTAATTAAAGGGGGCGGGGTGTGTGTGTGTGTGTGTGTGTGTGTGTGTGTTTTCTTGCCAAGCTTCAAAAGCCGCTTTTTGCTGTTGCAACTCTTACCGCTTCTTAGACGGCCAACAAACTATGGGCGGAGGGAAGGGGGAGATAGAACGTTGGTTCCAGACATCGAGATGCCATGAGCCGTGAGAACCAAGGACGTTTCTGCAGGTGACTAGCAGAGCCAAAAGAATTTCTCATAACAAAACCAGCAGGCTCCGTTGGACACTGTGATCTGGCCGAACGGGAGAGAGAGGGAAGGAGGGAGAACCTGAACTTCGACTAAGTGGGTTTGCACGGGAAATGGTCAGATCTGGTTTTGCCCTCACCGGTGGCGGAATGAGGTACTCAACAAAGTTCCGCATCCAGAGATCGGATCGTCTCGGCCGTGCTTACTTTGATTGGCAGGACCCTTCACACTTTCGGTATTAAATTCAAATTCCACTACGCCTTTTTCCATAGGCGTGCTTTTACATTCATCTGCTTGGGTTAGGCGGTTTCCCAAGCCAACTCAAAACAGGTAAATCCAGAAAGAACATTTGCTTACTTGGATCTCACACGCAGCGACCAAATTGTGAATGTAATAGAAAGCCTCCTCCACACTTTCTCCGACGGATACCAAGCCGTGATTTCGGAGTATGAGGACCTGGAGGAGCCGAGGACAGAAACAAAAGAGGCTGGGAGTCAGACAAATCCCATGTTTTCGGCAGGTCCTTGTAAACGGGGTGAGGTAGATACTCACTTTACTTTTGGGGCCCAGGTTCTTTTGAATCAGGGCTTTCTCCTCCTCGTTCACGAGAATGCCGTGGTAGTCGTGGTAGGCCACTTCTCCGAGAGACAGCGCCTCTGGTGAGATGGGCAGGAGGCCGCGTTTCATCGCGGATACCTGAGGGTGTTATCACGGATTTTTACTGACAGCAGTCTAGAATCGGTTATCATCTTTCCTACAAAGGTTGGTTCTCAAAGACAACTTTGGAGAGGGGAGGAGGAGGAGGAGGGTGGGACAACTTTCTCATCTGGAAAAGACACCTCTGAACCTCATTCCCGAGAGGGAAGTTCTCAAAAACTAACGGGAAAGTAAAAACCGAGGCACGTGACTGAGAGCAGCCATCTTGAAAAACCCTGATAGACAGGATAGGATGGAGTGGAACGGAACATAGCAGAATGAAGAATCAGATTAGAATATAGAATACAGAATGTAGAGTAGAGCAGAGCAGAGCTGAGAGCTGTTGTGGCCAGCGGCCAGCAGAGCTGGTGTTACACTCGGATAGCAAAGAGGTTGGGGAGGAAACTGGGCCAGTCCTGGAGTCTGGGGAAAGCTCTGAGGGCTCTGCGTCAGAGGCAGAGAGGGGGGCCAGGGCCGTCCGGCAGTTATCAGCTGCCTTCTGAGTCGGATATCAGCGAGGCAGAAGAACAACTGGAGCCTGTTCCCAATGTGTACATGCGCAGAGCTGCAGGCGAAAGGAACAGTTAAGNCAAAATCTCCATTCCCTTCCCACTCTGGGGCCAACCAGAGGTGGTATTTGCCAGTTCTCCGAGCTGCTCAAAATTTCTGCTACCAGTTGTGCAGAACCTGTCGGAACCTGCTAAATTTCACCCCTGACCTGTAGCGTTAACAATGACAGTCTGATATTTATTTATTTGTTAAATTTATGTAAGAGTCTAGTGGCATCAGAGACTAAATTCCTTACATTGTGCTTTTTTATATCAAGGAGATGTAATTCTTGACAGTGCTGTCATGCTACCTGTTCTGAGGTTATCAGGGTGGTACTAAGGTTGCCTAGCTGGTACTATAGACACTTTCCTGGGCAATATTTGCCTTTCCTGATACTTTTCCCATTAACATGTTTTATTTAAAAAGTAGGGAGATGGCAGGCTGCAAAACAGCCTCTAGCATCCAGAAATGCTTCTAAAGTCCATCAGCTTCATGAATGGCTGCAGTCCAATCCTTTGTTGGACTCCCTGGCCAGAAACAAGAATAGCTCAGGTGGCTGAATAGCATTCAGGTACAATTGTAACAAGTTAAATTTCCCTTCAGCAGCTACTTTCTGAATGAGTGAAGACTGTAGTGTCTGGTTTGCCAGCTCCCAGAACAGGTTGTCACATTCCAGATGTGCCCCAAGGAAAATTTTTTGGGATTCCCTGATATGAAACAGACTCCTGTTTTTTTCTAGCCTTGCATTCCTTAACAATCATGTTACCAACGTAACAACTGTAGTGATTCACTTAACAACCTGTGGCAAGAAAGGTTGTAAAATGGGCCAAAATTCACTTAACAACTGTCTTGCTTAGCAATGGAAATTTTGGACTCAGTTGTTGCAATTGGAGGGCCCACCTGTATTTTAAAATAGAATTATTTTCAAAAATGAAAAAGGCTGCAATCTTCCAGGCAGATAATTGGCACCAAAAACTGTCTAAGCCAATTAAAAAAAAAAAAAAGTAGCGTTCAGAGAGTAAATGAAAGAAAAAAAAATGCAGGGGTACACACAGACTTCTTTAAAAGCTGGTCTTCTCTGATTTTTTTCCCCAAATAGTGGGCCACACTCCGAATTCAGAAGGGAATCCGAAGAGAACAGAAACAGAGATCCTATACTTCAAGTGGTAAGTTGTTTGATTACAGTTTTAATTTAAAGATAACAGATTATTATTATTATTATTATACAATTGTATCACAGCGGCCAGTTGTTTCGCCGGATTTGGCATTGGTTACTAGTCGGGCCCCACCCAGGGGC